GAGCCCACGGAGCCGGGCAGGGGGCGCTGCGCTCGCCGCGCTCGGAGGGGCCGCCGGGCCGGGCGCCGCGCACTCGCGTCGGGAGCCGCCTCTCGCCCGCGGCGCTCGCCCCTGCCGCCCGCCAGCATCCCTTGTCCCGCGGCCGCGCTCAGACAACAAAAGCGGAAGATGCTGCAGTTGGGTAAGGTCAGGACCTTGCCCTGAAGCCGGGCGGCGCCGCGCACGCCTCTCCCCCGACTGAGGAGCTGTCGCCCGCGGCGGGTGCATGTTCGCGAGGAAGCCGCCGGGCGCCGCGCCGTTGGGTGAGTTGCGGGGCTGGGCGGCCGGGGCCGGGCGCAGCCTTCTCCTGGCGCTGTCCTCTTCCTCCGGCTGCCGGTGGGGGTGGTCCCGGGCTCCCGGCCGGCGGGCGGCGGTGGCGGCTGCGGGGGTCCTGCCTGCCTGAGGGAGGACCGCGATCGCGCCGGGTCCGCCTCGGAAGCCGCTGTGCCGGGAAGGGGGTTCGGGGTGAGTGCCTTTCTCTGAGCGGTTACCAAGTGTCTGCCCTGCGTGCTCCCCCTCCCTGCCACCCATCTCCCCGGGAGGAAGCGTATTTAGGGCAGCACCGACATGCTTCTCCCCGCCACCCTGAGAACAAACCCGGTGCATTCATGACGTCCCCAATATACGGGAGGAGACGGGGTGGGGGTGGGGAGGACTTCCCTCCAGTCTTTTGCCCTTATGTTCAATGTCATTACGATGTTTGGCTAGAACAAAATGGAAAGACTTAGTCATATGCGTCCATGGCCGTGTCTTCAGGCTCCCGCGGCTTGCCAGACCCAGAGCCCCCTCGGTCTATATTTAGCGGCTTCGGAGGAAGCCTTTGTAGCCGGCTTCACAGGTTTCGGGGGCTTCTGCGTGCTGACAATAGACAGCCGGGCTCCGGAAAGCGCTGCCTGAAAGCCAGGTTTGGAAGGCTGTGCGTGCGTGTTGGAGATAAGCGATGCGAAATTGGGGTGATCCGTAATTAATGGCTGAAAGCGAAGCTGCTTTTTTCTTTTTTTTCCCCGACCGTCCTCTTGTTCTGGTGTGTAATGTGTTTTCTTCGATTGCTACTCAGCAGGGTTGAGCCTCTCTACGTTCAGAATTAAGTCACTAGAAAGGTGGTGCAGCCTCCCTGGTTTGTGTGGTAGGAAAACAGACTTAGGAATTTTTGGGGTGTGTGTGCGTGCGTGCGTGCGTGTGTGTGTGTGTGTGTGTGTGGTTGTCACAAAGAACAGTTACTTCCAGAATGCCTAAAGTTCTATTTTGCTGTAACCGTGGGGGTATGAAGGCTGTGGGAGATGGGAGAAAGAGGGGCAGGTTGTGGTTCCAAGGTGTTTTTTTTCTCTTGTGTGCCTCATTTGAGCTGATCTGATTCGCCTTAGCTCTGGAAGGTGTTATTAAGATGTATGCTTACTGTGCTCAAGCAAATATGTTGATTTAGAAAACAGAGAATGTTGTAAGCATAGTATTGGGCCTGACAGGTGTAAATTTCCACTTTTTAGAACTATGTGACCAATATTGAAGAGGCTTGGAATTTTCTGCAGTGACTTCCATGAAAATAGGGAGGTGCTGAAACTCCCTAGGAGTTCTCTCATTGTGCATACTTCATCAGAGGCTGAGCTACTGAGGGGAGTCCAGCTTGTCTCTGCTACTGGTCATTCACCTACATAATGACAAAGCTTCCGGGCTGTACCACCTCTAAAATCCCATGGAGAAGTGTTTCCAATGACTCATATCAAGTTATGGTGGTGAACCTGTGTATTATTTTGGGGATTTGTGCTACCAGAAGTGTGACATATAGGGGCGAGTATCCTCAGATATGAACTAGATGCTTTAAACTGTCCTAAAATCTCTTTTGTTAACACATGGTCGCCATACGCAGAATCTTCCTAACGTTGTTGGGGGAAAATGCTAAGTGGTGTCCTTACTGATCTGTGAATTACAAGGACTCAGGGCTTGAAGGAAGACGATTACATTCTGTGTTGGATGTTGAATTTGGGGAGGCTTTTGATTATACTAATCACAAGTCAGTGATGCAGAGGGACTGGCAAGGTCTGTACGACTCAAGTTAATTGAATGCTGTGATCACTTTTTAGCAATATTGCTTTAGTTTCACCTTGTTCACATTCAGGGAACTTTCCGAGAGCACTTTGAACACACTGTTGTGGCCATTGCATTGTTTTAATATAAAATTTCTTCCAAAAAGAAGCGACAGATGAAGTAGCAGGCATTTCTCCTTCCTTTTCTTTTTTTCCTTTTGAGCCTAGTGTTTCAGTCTTAAACATGATTTTTTGACGAGTTGATATTGCTCTGTGCCTGTGTGTGCACCCAGAGCGGCCGATGGGCATGAGAAAAACTATATGTGCTGTATATGTGGGTTTTATGTCATATTGTGGATTGAAAATGATATTGCCTGATTGAATGGCAATTGTAGTAAGTACATGAGGTGGTTGCTCTATAAAATTGTCATAGTCTTACGGAAAGGAGTTATTTAATCTGGTGTACGTTTGTGTAGTTGTATAACCCAATCATTATAGATGTCACTGATGTTTTCATTGTTTGTAATAAAAGTCATACACTGTCAGATTACAGTATTTCCATCCACTTTACATCTTTCATAGAATGCAAGCCAATTCTTTCTCCCTGTGAAATGGTTCATCAGAGACAAAAAATGATATTCACGTATTGGCTTGAAAATGCAATTTATAGTTTTGTTAAATAATTTCTAAGGATAATAATGCTTTCATAATGGCCTCTAAAATTAAAAATGAAGTTATAATATTCTCAAATATATTATTACTTTGGTATTTATTTGAATATGCAGTGCATTTTTTGAAAATGTTACAGAATTTGCTCTTTTTCGTTTTGTCTTATCAAACTTCTTTTTTGTGTGTGGTATTCATTTATGTGCACTTGTCAAAGCTGTTTTCAGAGTAATTTCATCAGGTTGTCTTTATGTAAGAAAACATTAAAATGACATTTGAAATAATTTATTGTAATTTGTCCATAGGGTCAGTACATTATGTATGGACCAGTGTATGCAGTTGTAACAAGCCAGTTGAATTAAAACAGAAACTGTTACATTTTGGACTTCCAGTTTTTTTCTTTATGATTAGCCACAGAAAATGGGAACACCCATTTATGTTTCTTTCTCTGTGTGAACGTTATTTTCACCTCCTTAGAGGGAAATCACTGATGCGAGTCTCACTTTTTGTAACAGAGTTTTTATTTTTAAAAGACTTCACATAGGGAGTACTTACACTTGGATGTCATAATTCAGACAATGAATGAAAACAAAGCATGAACTGCCTGTTATTTTCTAGTCCAGTACTTTGGCTGAAGGTGCGGTTCTTTGCTGCTTGATTTACAAGTCAGAAATACACTGTCATTCAAGCCAGATTCATTCGTTGGCTTCCATGATGGTTTTCGTCATCCATCTTCTGAAGGTGTTCTCATGTCCATAGTACTTTGATAGCTTTCTGGTATGTGAAAAGTTAATTTGAGTGGAAACAGTTCATGATACTTGTTGCTAGCTCCAAGTTATCTGATTATATGCCAAAGCAACAGCTTTTTATATTAATATAAAATATTAAACATGTCATCAATAAATAGTTTCTATCACATTGTCTGCCAATCCAGCCTACTGATTAACAAACTGCCTGGTTGGGTTTAATGAACTCAGTTGTAGTCACAAACAGTACCTCCAACACAGGGAACTCACAGAAATATTTTATCATACTGTGCTTTTTACTCCATTAAATGTTAAGTCTCATAACAAAAATGTGCAGTTATGACACCTCCAGTTGTTTATCTTTTGATTACATAGCAGTTAAGTGCAATTCCAAGCTCTGAATCATGGTTAATTGATTTGTAGGAAGTGTCTTAGCTGTGTTAGGATATCGAAGTTATACTCTGTATCAATTAGTTTTTGACAAATTGGAAATAATGACTAAATAAGTGAGACAATGCTTCCTAGAAGCTTTCCATCTTAGATAAATATTCATCTGTCTCTCTTGGCACATTACCTGCAAAACGAATTACATATATTGAAACTTATTTTATTAGGTTCCTATATATTATATATTCTGATATTTCATAATGAAGTCTCTCTCTCTCTCTCTCTCTGTCTCTCTCTCTCTCTCTCTCTCACACACACACACACACACACACACACAGTTATATGCCAGAGCCCAACTATTTCTCTAAAAATGTATTTGTAATCTGAAATGACAGTTACTGGAAAAAGAGCTTTCCATAGTGTAATGCTGTTTTGCCTTCTGCTTCTGGTGGGGAGAGAGCACTGGCTTTCAGTGGATTCCAGCTCTGTCTCTTCTTAGCTGTGTATCCCTCACCATTTATGTGATCCTCAGTTGTTAACTCAGTTTCTTCAGCTGTAACATGGTTATAATAAGACAGAATGTCTTCAAAGATTTCTTTGAGGATAAAGTAAGAACATGGATAAGTGGCTTGTAAAGCATAAAATTTATGTAAATACAAGAAATCAATATATACTTAAATATACAAGACAGGTACTAATGTTTTATTGTGCCTTGTGTATATGGTATATATTGACTTCTTGTGTTTACATAAATTATATATTTTATAACTTACATAAAATATGCATACATTATATATTTTATGTAAACACAAGAAGTCAATATATACCATATATACAAGACAGGTACTAATGTTAAAATTAAATAGGTTATCTACGTCACCATCCTCTCTAACAAAGGGTATTAAATGCTATAATTTCCCTACCCCTACACTTATTGTAATATTGCTTCATTATGCAGATTTGCATATAAAATATGCTAAACTTTCTATTCTGAAACATACCAGCCCTTTATATATTACAGTACATAATAGTTAAGCTAAAGAAGAAATAAATTATATCTCCCAACACCATTATTAAAAAGAGATTCTAATCTAGTAGAAATTATAAAACTTTGATATTATTAGTGTTAGTCACCCGATTAAGATCAAATTTTCTACAAAGATTAATGTTGTACAAAGACTATCATCAGCAGTTTAATAAGCATCACTCTCTGTGAGGTCAGATATTACACATCTGCTCTGTTTAGAACCACAGAGCATGAATCTAATCATAATATCATTATGAAACAAAAAAGAAACATTAAACAGCTAAATATATAAAGAGAACACCCCCTCGTCAATTAAAATCAAGTCCTTGAAGAGAAATAAAAAATATGTGAATTGGTACCTTTTTAAAAATAGATGGTCATTTTCACTTGTTTCGCTCTTAAGAGCTTCAGTGAAGACAAAAAAGTGCCCAGCTCTTCCATGTTTTAAGATGCCCTGTTCCTTGGGATGATCAAACCCAGAGGGGCTTGATTTAGAACTGTGATCTTCAGCAAGGTAATTTTTAGCATCATGACAATTTGATGCATCTTACAATTTGTTTTAGAATGTGACCTGTATAACGGGACCAGTTTATCTTGAGTCAGGAAAACATTTTGACAATAAATGTTATTTGTATTCAAATTTATGTGTTGTTGTAGGAGCTGCCAATTATAAGTTACCACAGCAAAATACATGTTATGATAAAAGAACTTTCTTTTTTTTTTTAATGAAAATAAGAGGTTGAGCCAATTGTATTTGGTTAAATAAATATATGTAACATTTCTACAAGTTTTGAATGATACTGACATGTTACTAAATAGGATGTTTACTTTGTAACACTAGATGATGGGGAACAATCAATTTGATCATTGATATTAGAACATACACTTATCTTGCCTAAGTAAAGGCCAGAGTTTTATCATTAGTAACATTTTTTGTTTAACAGATGTGATTATCACAACTGTCATTAGAAATTTTGTCCAGTAGATATGTATAAAGAAAACTGCATTTTGTGCATGTTTTATGCAGTTTGTTCTTTTGGTTTAGAAACCTCCCTATAATGTAAAAATG